TGAGAACAACGGTGTTGTTCACACTCGCAGGAAGGGGACCTCAAACCATGAGGATCCTTGTATGATCTAAGGAAACGGAAGAAGTAGGAAAGGAAGATGCCTTGAACCACACGGATCACTTCAATCAGGGGATGGACAGTACGACTAAGCGTGGTTCAGAGATACTTGGTTTTCCCACCTCCGAAAAAAACTAGGGCTCATAGTCGCAGGGTGCAGGTTATTTGGGGGGGGACCCAAAAACACGCATACAATGCGCCCAACTGTAACTAAAACTGCCCCTATCCAAATCCCAAACCCCAAACCCTAAATCTCGAGCCTTGAGATACGCTCAGGCACCAGCAAGACTGGCGCCTCCTACTCTAAGACACGGCGATTCAGAGCTTTTGGGGTTGCACGCCCATTTCCTTCTGAACCCTCAGCCCTGAACCCTAAGCCCTGAACCCTAGTGTTGAGGGTTTAGGGTTCAGGGTTCAGGGAACCCTAAACTCTAAACCCTAAACCCGAAATAAAGCTCTCGGCAAACGCAGGGCGAAGAAGCAGTTCGTCATCGACGCCTGGAGGGCTTGCGACACTCATCAAGTCTGTAGGGTTCAGGGTCGAGGTTCCCCAAACCCAAACCCTGAACCCTAAACCCTAAACCCCAGACCAACGAGTTTGGGGCTTGCAGGCTTGGGGCTTTAGGGTTTACGGTTTAGGGCTTGAGGGGCTTAGGGAGTTTAAGGGTTTGGGGTTTAGGGTTTGGGGTGTGCTTAAATAGGGAGCCCGAAGATAGAACCACCCCCGTTGAGACTGAGTCGCAAGTTCGGCCCTGGAGTGGTGCGGCGGAGGGGGATGAAGGGGACGGGCCGACTAAAGACTTTCTCCACTGAAATCCCCTAAACCCAAAAAGCCCAAACCCTAAACCCTAACCCTAAACCCTAACCCTAAACCCTAAACCCTAAAGCCTAACCCCCCCAAACCCAGGCGGCTCCAGCACCTTCGGACCCAGGAAACATTCAGGTCATGCTTGGCCCTGGACCATTCTGGAAGAGCTCCACGTTATCCTCCTTTGCAGAACTGGATGAGGGTTTAGGGTTTAGGGTTTAGGGTTTAGGGTTTAGGGTTTAGGGTTTAGGGTTCAGGGTTTAGGGTTTAGGGTCCCCTGTGGGGTGCCCCTAAGCATCAAACCTCCCAAAAGGGCAACGACATGATGACATGGGTGCTGCATCCGGCCCCCAAAGCCTGAAGCACCCAAAACCCTCAAACAAAACACCCTAAACCCTAAACCCTATACCCTATAACCCTGAACCCTGTAACCCTAGAACCCTAAACCCGGCGCATCTCCTGCGCGGAAGCGCGGCAAAGCACCACCTTGCCTGAGCCAAGGAAGAGATGCTATGCACAACGATCCCTACCCTAAACCCGACAACTCTATATGAATCCCTGAGACCCTAAGACCATAAGAAGACCCTGAAGCCCAAAGTCACTAAGACCCTAAAACCCTAAGACCCCTAAACCCCTAATAAGCCCTAACCACAGCAAACGCAAAAAAAAAAAACACTCTTCAACAAAGCCCCAGTTGCTCTCTCGTCCAAGCTGCGAGCAGTAGACCTCAGGCCCCAAGTTGCCAGTTGTTCTCCATTTAGGGGTTTCCGAAGATAGGGGTACCCCTTGTTGCGGGTCCCTGTAGGGGGGATTCTATACTATTTGGGGTATAAAAGGGGCCACCCTTGGGAAATGCAGGGATTGAGGGTTGACGAGATCTCACCCAAGGTAGGAGGCAAAACGACATCCCCACCTGAGCCTTAAGAACCCTGAATCGTGAACCCTTCTACAGCCCGAATTGCCCTCGCTTAGTGACGATTCTGGGTTCCGGTCTGTCAGTGAGTCGCCATCGCGCTCGTTGCGCGTCATGGATAAGATGGTCCCCACAGTGTAGCACCAGGACTGGGATGGTTTAGGTTTAGGGTTTTGGTAGCACCAGGACCGAGAATTGGACAGAGTTTGGGTTTGGGTTGCAAGGTCTGGGGCTTCATTGCATTGTCAGGTTGATACTTTTGCGTCCACCAAAGCCAGATCGTCCAACATAACTATTTTTGTCACATGTTCGTGCACATTTTGAACGGCGTCGGCAGTAAATTTGTGTGCCGAACTTTTACGCGACAGCTGGGCGGACATGTTGCGACAACATGTATCTGCATCGTGCTTTGTGCTATTCGTCGCAATATTTTCGCAACCCCGGGTACAGGCCTAAAACGTAGGTGCAAAGCTTGGGACGCAATTCGTTCGCAATGTTCGGTGCAAACTAACTTCTTCTCAACTTAAATGGTTGGTGTGTAACGGGGAAAACTTCTCACAATGTTGGGTGTAGTAAATCTTGCAATAACACGGCTGATTCCAGCGTTCTTAGAGACGCTTGGCCGGTGCGACAGTAACGAGAAGCACCCACACAGTTCCAGGATGTTCCAAGCACACCCATGCCGAACGTCCTCATTGACTCATGAGGGAAACTGTTCGTTGAAGACTCGTCATGGAACTGAAATGCATCCTGAATATGGTTACCCTCACTCTGCAAACCGGACAGAACCCTGTAGGACCCTAAGAACCTTAAACCCTAAACTCTGCCAACCGAATCTTACAGATTGGGGACTGACCAAACCTTAAAAGGGTCGATGGTCCACATCCTTTCCCGATTAATAGAGCGGCCTTAATATTCGAGTATGGTTTTGGGGGGTCATTGTAGTATATTTATTTAGGGACCCTTTAAAAAAACATTACTAGTAATTCTTCCGACCTCTAAATTATCCATGTTGATGGTTGGAGAGTCACTCTGACAAGCCGCAGGCTATTGCCCCTTTAAGCGCATGTCTCCCGTCAGACCTATCGGGTCCTGGAATTGAGAAACCAAGCTTCGTGGTAAACCCTGAAACCTAAACTCCAACACCTGGCTCCAAAAAACCGAACGCCCTAAAGGTTTTTCAACCAGCCCATACCAGCCCCCATGTTCTCTGCCTTCATCGAGCGGAGGTAGATGCAGAAAACAGCCCGGTCAAGCTGCTCCTGGCACCTTCCCAAAGTTGCATGGGTTAGGGTTTAGGGTTTAGGGTTTAGGGTTTAGGGTTTAGGGTTTAGGGTTTAGGGTTTAGGGTTTAGGGTTTAGGGTTTAGGGTTTAGGATTTAGGGTTTAGGGTTTAGGGTTTAGGGTTTAGGGTTTGGGTTTAGGGCGCAGGGTCAAGGATTTAGGGTCCCTTTTGGGTACACTAAAGAAACCCAGATATACATTCTGCTAGAGGATTGCTACCTGCTGGCAAATTTGAGGAGTTCCTCGCCTTCACTGCGATCACAGTGTGAATTTGCCACTGTGTGAATTGGATCATCTCATTTGGGGCTAAAAAAGGCCCTGAGCGCCACGGGCTGCCATACGACCACACCCCTGCAGAACGTTATCGGCTTGTCGTCCTTACCGTCTTACAAGCGGCAATGCGCTCCGGAAAGTCCTTGTGGCCGCTCCTTCCTAACCCCAAAACCCGTGTCTGTTTTGCAACCCCCCTTGCAAAACCACCCTTGCAAAAGAGAAACGTCAAAGACACTTTGGAATCATTTCGGCTCCTCTAACAAACCCTAAGCGTGCCGAGTCCGGGCAACCGTGCCTGCGCGAGCTGAGCTTCTTCTCGTTGCAGATCTTCACCTTTACATTTTGGGGATCTACAAGAACAAGGGACCCTCAATCTTGGTCCCCCAATAGTAGGATCCCCTGCAATAAGGACCCCAATAACGTACCCCTGAGATCGTAAACCCCCATTTCGGGTGCAGGATCTTGGGTTTAGGGCCTTTTGGACCCCCCTGCCTGCTCCTTCGCCTCCTCGCGCGTCTGGAAGAAGGCGGGTCCCTGTAAGGCGTTGAGGCAGGGGAGCCCATGCGAGATTAGGGGTACCTACTTGGGGTCCTTGTTCTAATCCTTCTATGTGGGGATACTGGGGGTCCCCTATTTTCGTAGGCCCCCCCATTCCGAAGGCTGAGGGTGGCCTTAGGGAGGTCTCCTGCCGCCGCAGCCTTGCGGCAGCTTTTGCCGCTGAGGGCTGTCGGACTCTTCCTATGTCTTGATATCCCCACCAAGCCCCTAAACTTTCGGTAAGCCCTCTCGGAGCCCCTAAGCCCACGAGAGGGTTCGGTGCACTGGCCTCTTCCTGACCCTCTTCTGCAGGACCTGTCGGGTCACTCCCATGTGTGTGCGTGGTCCTGTGGGGGGGCTGGGGGCCTCTGGGGCTGCTGCTGCATTCTAGAAGCGGCGGCCCAGACTCCAACGGTTTAGGTTCAGGGGTTTGGGGTTTAGGGTTTAGGGCTTAAGGTTTAGGGTTTAGGGAGGCCACAGGGTTCGAGAAGTACGATTCAGAAAACACCCGCAGACTACCACTGACGGTGGGGAGTCCTACCTCGAACCCTCTTGGAGGATCCAGAAACTAGAGCCACCAAGTAACACCTACACTGCTTTTGGAGTCATGCTGAAGAACCCTTACAGGGATCTACTTTTTGGATCCTCACAGGGGTCTGGGAAGGCTTTTAAGGCTTTACTGTAGGGTTTTGGGGTTTTGGGATGTTGAGGTTTAGGGGTTTTGGGATTCTCAGGGTTTCAAGGCGCTGTGTTTTGGTTTTGGGGTTTGGGGTTTGGGTTTCGGGGTTTTGGGCGTTCGGGCTTGAGGGTTAAGGGTGAAAAACTGCAGAGATCCCGTTTCTGGCCAGTGAGAGCAACCAGGCACGAAAGCCTTGAACACCCTGGATGCCGTTGACTTCTGGCTACCTCCTGTACGCCAAGTCCCAGACCCAGGAAAACAAGGGGCATCCACTCTATTCAGAGGGGTTTGAGAAGGGAACCTAACCCTAAACCCTAAACCCTAAACCCTAAACCCTAAACCCTAAACCCTAAACCCTAAACCCTAAACCCTAAACCCTAAACCCTAAACCCTAAACCCTAAACTAAATGAACCTAAAACCTTAAACCCTACAACCTCAAAAAGAGGGGATCACAGGGTTGCTCTCTGGCTCCGAGCACGGCCTCGAGGCTCCATCTGGCGATCCAGGAGTGCGCAGAGGACTCTGTGCACCATCACATCCTTGTTAGGGTTTAGGGTTTAGGGTTTAGGGTTTAGGGTTTAGGGTTTAGGGTTCAGGGTTTCGGGTTTCGGGTTTAGGGTTTTCGGGTTTCGGGTTTCGGGTTTCGCCCCGGGTTTCGGCGTTGGGGCTTGGGGTTTCGGGGTTTGGGGTTTCGGGGTTGGGGTTTGGGGTTTAGGGAAGGGATCTTGACGTTTGAGCATACGACCAGGTGCCGCCAAGATGCCGGATAGCGGCGGATGGGCGAAGTGAAGTGCGTGTAGTAGTCGAAGTTCAGTGCGAAGTGGTGCGGGCACAGCTCCTGGCAACTTTGGGCCCCAAGAAACGCAAAACTCTAAAAGGCAAGGAGCCCCGTCTGTCGACCAGATATCACGGCGCCCGCAAGGAAATACCTCCCTGCCTCCTCCTCTTCCTCGACGGCGCCGTAGAGGAAGTACTCTGCCTGCCAAGAGGGGGACACCTAAGCCTCCTCGTGATGTCGGGGCTCTGCGACACTCGGCTCTCCAATGTTTAGGGCGCCAAGTTCCAACAGCCTCGAATCCTCGAATCACACATGTCTTATGTCGTGTCTGAGTCTGCCTGCTTCATCCCGGCACGCATGATCATCCTGGCGGAATTTCTTCGGAGGCTGCATTCGAGCGCATGCTCGCGGACCCTAGCTGTAGCAGCGTGCAGCCAACTTGCAGCTGGTCTGCGGCAACATTACAAACATGCTGCTGCCACATCTCCACACAAAGCCCCAGCATCTTGCCATGCTTTCTGTAGATGTCCTGCACGCAGCATGCGCGAGGTCAGGTTAAGGAACCCCCAACGTGAACGATCGTAGTTGCCGGATTGCTATTGATGACTGATAGGATCAAGAGTTTTGAGAGCCAGGATCTTGGCTTCGTGACGCGAAAACGGATGGAGTTAAATCGGATTCTGATCGGCAATCTCAAACAGCACCCGTGTGCGAACATCATATCCAGCTATACCTTAGTTGGGGTTCGATGAAGTGTTCTATGCAGCATCGTAGCGATCTCAACTGCACAGTAAACTATAACGAAGTACGATTAAAGGGATAAAGGGATAGAAAGAAAAGAGAAAGGGAGAGAAAGAGAGAGGAGAGAGAGAGAACGGATAGCATGGGAAGAGAAAGGGAGAGAGAGAGAGAGCGAGAGAACGAGAGAAGAAAAAAAAGAGAGTGAACCAAATAGAGATAGAGCAAGAGAAAGAAAGAGATCGCGACAGAGGGAAAAAAAGAGATGGAAAGAGAGAGAGAGAGAGGTGTATGGCAAAGAACATGCAAGCCCACGAAGGAAAAGTGAAGACGTAGATGAAGAAGTAGAAGCAAAACGAATGACAGCAAACGGAGAACAAATGAAGATGACGATGAGGACAAAATGAAGATAAAATGAAGAGGCAAAAACCAATGACGAAACAAACGAAGCAAAAATCGAGAGTATCATGATGTAGAATGATGAAAATGAGGACACACATGAAGAAGCAAAAGCATCACACGACCAGCCCTAGACGCGTCACAAACAAAATCATGTCAATCAAGCCGCCGATGCTCGTGATAGGCTTATGCATTCAGAGGTCGGAGGCTTGCTATGGTCTACTGCTACAGCACCACTACCCTGCTACGGAAACGCGCGGCCGCCAAGGAAGAGTCCTGGCACGACTTGTAGATGGCGAAGGCAGAAGACATGCTGAAGTCCTGCCAAGGCGGCAGAGAGGCGGGGCAGCCCAGTGTTTCAGGAAGAGGGGAACCTTGTTCCTATGTAAGAAGGCGCCTCTGCCACCCCAAAGGATGCATGGCCCAAGGCTTGGTGATTCCGGGGGGTTGGGGTCCTTCTGCCTACGATCGGCATGAGAGCTCTCTTGCTTAAGAGTTTTTTAAGAGGCTGTAATTCATAAGCAGGCTTCTTGCATGCTTCAAAAACTACTCCCGGTCGGGGTTGGGGTTTAGGGGTTTAGGGGTTTAGGGGCGTAGCCCTAAACCCTAAAACATGAAGCGTAAAAATCCATTAACCCCAATCCCCAAACCCTTTGGGGGTTTCGGGGTTGAGGGCGCCAGCCCACCCCCCACCACCCCCCCCCCGCCCCCGCCTTGATCCCAAGCCGCTCCCGCATGAGCTTCTGGAGCGTCTCTGCCTGCACAAAAAGTATAATATGGGGGTTTCCGAAAATAGGGGGTACCCTTTTTGGGGGTCCCTTTAACGGGATTCTATTCTATTTGGGGTATGAAAGGGGTGCGGGGGGGTGCGGGTGCGGTGCATGCGGCACATGTCCAGAAATCGTGCCGCTGTCATGACGGGCAAAATCAATTCTTCGTCTTCAATCATTTTGGGATCCAGCCAGTGCACCCTTGATCAGGGAAACTCCCCAAACCCTAAACCTCATAAACCCTACAAACCCTCTAAACCCTATGACCCCGAAACCCGATCTACCCAAAGTCAAAAATCCCGAAACCCTACAAACCCTCGAAACCCTATAGGATCCCGAAAATATGAATCAAGGTATATTCCCTAATAAAGGCGGCCAATAACTTATGTTCTCCCTTATACTAACAGCCCTTAATACGGATCATAATTGGGGGTACTAAAATTCCCTTCCAAGGGCTGTTCGTATAAGGGGGAACATCCCAAACAACACGCCCTAGATAAGGGCTAAACAAAGAACCCGATATAGATAGTTAAGGTGCATTCCTCAATTTAGGCGGCCAACAACTCCTAAACCCTAAACCCTGAACCCCAAACCCTAGAACCCTAAACCCTAAACCCTAGAACCCTCAACCTTTACTGGGCTCTTTGGGGGGCGGGCGCGCGGAGCCCCCGCCTTCTTCGCGTCGGGCGCCTTATGGTTCCTCAGCACCGACACCTCCGAGAGCTCCGACATGGCCTTCCGGAGTGGAGGGCTTTAGGGTTTAGGGCTTAGGGTTCAGCATCTCATGTCCAAGCATTCACTAGTCAAGCTCGCTACTCTGGTATTGAAAATCTACCCACCCACCCATTGGATCCCATAACATTAGGAAATATTTTAGTTTCCTAATTTCTTTTAATCAAAATGATAAGCCCCAAACGCCCCACTAAGCAAAACACTCCTAAACCCTAAAGTCCAAGGCCCAGTAGGCCCTAAATCCTAAAGCCCAAGGCTACCCCCTAAATCCTAAAGCCCAAGGCCCAGAAGGCCCTAAAACCTAAAGCCCAAGACCAGAGGCCCCTAAATCCTAAAGCCCAAGGCCCAGTAGGCCCTAAAACCTAAAGCCCAAGGCCAGTAGGCCCTAAAACCTAAAGCCCAAGGCCCAGAAACCCTTAAAAACAAGGCCCAGTAGGCCCTAAAACCTAAAGCCCAAGGCCCCAGTAGGCCCTAAAACCCAAAGCCCAAAGTGCAGTAGGCCCTAAAACCTAAAGCCCAAGGCCAGTAGGCCCTAAAACCTAAAGCACAAGGCCCAGTAGGCCTTAAAGCTACAGCCCAAGGCCCAGAAGGCCCTAAAACCTAAAGCCCAAGGCCCAGTAGGCCCTAAAACCTAAAGCCCAAGGCCTAAGGTAAGAGGGGTTTAGGGTTTGGGGTTTAGGGTTTGGGGTTTAGGGTTTTAGGGTTTAGGGTTTTAGGGCTTGGGGTTTAGGGTTTGGGGTTTAGGGCTTGGGGTTTAGGGTTTGGGGTTTAGGGTTTAGGGTTTGGGGTTTAGGGTTTGGCGTTTACGGTTTAGGGCTTGGGGTTTAGGGTTTAGGGCTTGGGGTTTAGGGCTTGGGGTTTAGGGTTTGGGGTTTAAGGTTTGGGGGGTTTGAGGCCTTTTCTGAGGTCTAGGGTGTAAGGGTCATTGGTCCTTCTGAGGTCGAGGCGTCAGCGGGTTTAGGGTTTGGGGCTCATGAGGTTTGGGGTTTGGGGCTTCTGAGGCTTAAGGGTTTACAGGGCTTACGAGGTCAAGGCTTCAGGGCTTGTAGGGTTTAGGGTTGAAGGTCACGAGCCCTCGGGCTCCTAAAATGGAGATCTGCACCACCCACGCTGCAGCAAGGAATTCTTTCGTGTTTAGGGTTTAGGGTTTAGGGTTTAGGCAAGTTTAGGCTTTAGGGATTCTTCAACAGTCTTTGGGAATAAGTCGGAATCTGAGCCGCGGGCAAGGCGCGTTGCCACGCATCGGTTGGCCAGCAGCATCAGCTCCTCCAAGAGTCGCACAGAGCGCATCTCCGCGCGCGCACAACATTGAGGGTTTGGGGTTTCGGGTTTAGGGTTTAGGGTTTCGGGTTTCGGGTTTCACAACCGATCCCTGCCATGAGGAGGCCCCCAATTCCCTCAACCCTGAACCCTAAACCTTAAACATGCGACTCCTATGTCTTCATGCCCTTACGCCCCAAAATCTAAACCCTGACATCCATGAGAGGGTCCCTTGCACGCTCCTCAATCACCCAGTGCGACGCGCTGTGCGATTCGAGGTGGTAGCCGGTTGGAATCCCATCCTGTCACTTGATCTTGATCTTTGTCGATGGGAGGGTTTAGGGTTTAGGGTTTAGGGTTTAGGGTTTAGGGTTTAGGGTGCTTTCTTTTAGGGTGACTAGTTGAGGATTTCCCCCATATGGTCTAATTAGTCCATCTAGTTCTAGTCTTGAGATGTCTAGAGAGTCTAGAGCCTAGGATGCCAAAGCAGGGCCCCAAACCCCCACCCGTCACAACCCTGACCCTAAAAGCCCGAAAGCCTTAGAAGCCCAAAACCCGCAAACAAGGACCCCCAAGCAACCCCCACACTCTGCACCCCTCATAAACCCGAACCGAAGTCCTAAGCCCCTGCAAGCCCGTGTAAACCACACGTCCTCACTGTCCCGGGTGTGGAAGACCATCTTCCTGGGCGGCGTGGATGCATACGAAGTCGAGGCAAAGGTTCGGGTTTAGGGAGTTTAGGGCTCAGGGTTATTCAGGGCTCAGGGTTATTTAGGGCTCAGGGTTGGTGATTTGGGGTTCGAGGGCGATTCAGGGAGTTTAGAGGGCGATTCAGGGAGCTGCACGTCCAGGGCTTCGGGGGTTTAGGAACTCGGGCTTGAGGTGTTGGGGCTGTGGGGCCCCCCAAGTTGGGATGCTCTCCCTGATACTAGCAGTCCTTAAGAGGGATTCTTGTACCCCCCCATTCTTGATCCCTGTTAAGGACTGTTGCCCTAAACCCTAAACCCTAAACCCTAAACCCTAAACCCTAAACCCTAAACCCTAAACCCTAAACCCTAAACCCTAAACCCACCCCCCAAGTGTAGAGACCAAGCTTCGTCTTGCTGATGGTCATGGCTCCGCCCGTCAGGCGGCCATGTCTCACCTACTGAATGAAGACTTCCCTCAAGAAGGGTTTAGGGTTTAGGGTTTAGGGTTTGGGGTTTAGGGTTTAGGGTTTTAGGGTCTAGAGGGTCACTGTTCTAGCATTCATAGTCATTAGGGGGTTCTAGGCTTAGGAAAAAAACCACCCGCCCAAAGAATCAGATAACATTAAGAAAATATAAAATCTCATCCAAGGACTTGCCTTAATCGACGAAAGGCTTGCCTTATTCGACGAAGGACTTGCCTTATTCGACAAAGGACTTGGCTTATTCGACGAAGGACTTGGCTTATTCGACGAAGGACTTGGCTGATTCGACGAATTC